AAAACTTTAGATAATCAGATAACAGCCGAATCGAACTTTGTATTTTCAATACTAGTAACCAACATTTCTCATACGTAAACAGTGTGATCAATCATATGCTATTGACCTAAGTTAAAACGTTTGCCGTTGGTTAGCTATTTAAAGCGACTGCTCTGGCAATGGCCGTGAATATGTGTTTCGCCTTTTGTTCGAGTCTGAAATTAGTTGACGTTCGATTGATAGCGTGTAAATATTATATTCAACGTTACGTCCATTAACATTGTCGTTTATAATGAATGAAGTACGGTCCAATGACACTTTGCAATTAGGAATTATGAAATGACCTTCACATTCTATTCTGTACGATGCTTATCGAAATGTCAATGTTTTCTTTTACGTGCAAGATGTAGCATATGTAATTTGTTGTTAACTTTGTATTTGACGGTGATAAAAAGAACTAGAAGTATTATAGAAAATACAAAATGGGTGACTATAGGCAATTGTAATAATAGATAGTACAACACGAGCTATACACGTGTGCGCATGCTGGATACATTAGTGATATATAGGTCAAGCGCTCCTCAACATCGAGGTCATTGCCCCAGGATTTACTCTGTCGATAAAACAGTCGTTAATTGGCTAAACTCGTTCCATTACCCACATACGCTTCGACGATAGAGGTCACCGTATGAGATATTCATGATTTATCTTTTCTTTTTAACACAGTTTGGGTTTAGACGCAAATTGAGCATGTAGTTTTTGGCATGCAACACAGTCGTCATACGTAATAAAAAAAAACACGCTTATCTGTTATGAATAATACGTTTTATCCGACATCTGTTTTTTTCACGTCAAACAGATAGTATTTTGCTCGAAGTTAATACGATACTTTCGACTTATTAATTTCGCAGATAATTAACATTTTTAAACGTTTTTTTCAATATTCGTTACTGAAATTCGTAGTCACTACTTTAAAATGTTTCCACGCGTATCCTAAAGGTCGTCGAACCATCCAGCGGCATGGATAAATTTATCAGTATTAGCTAAGCGTAGTCAATGTTTCGACTTATATTTAAACTTCGTTAGAAGATACTCAGGGACGAGGCGAGTTGACCTTGAACCCAAAAATTGTATCAGACTTTCTTTTTGCCAATTCATGATTCTCCTTTCCATCTCATATATTACCCGAAGAGTATTTCTCCCCGTTTCATAGAATGCGTCTACTATTTTATAATTGTCGCGTTATATAACAACTTATTTATAACTACTGCACACATCAACATTATCTTAAGCAAATACTACGTAACGCAAGCAAACTACACACTCCGAGGGCAAAACGAAGAAAACATTCTTATTAATAGGAACCGTCACAGTTTACTATTGCGCGTGTTTCATTACCGGTTCGTTCCTTTGTTCTAACCGTGGTATGATGAATTCAGGGTCAGTCCGCCTCGCTCGACTTCCTTCGAAGGTTATCGTGAGAGCTGCCATTATCATTCAATCGATCTTGACCAGTGTGCGTGTGCATGCGTGTTTGCACTCGAAAGAAAATTGCGACGGAACTAGCGAGTACTGTGCATCGTAATCGCATCGATAAGCATGGTTGTCTTTTTAGCGGCTCACGGTATACATGCCGGTTTCCACGGTCGTTCTAATGCGAAAAGAAAACACATTGTGCTGTGTACGTGGAACAGGTTATTATCGAAACAGTAAATTTAGCAACGGTAATCGGACGAAACGCACCGAAGCGCAAACGCGTGTAAACATGATTCGTTCATCCTGACCCAGATGCTTTGCGCCTGTTCCACCGTATTTATAGGAGGAATCTCGAGCTAGCAATCCTTTTCGATCTGACTCGATTGGAACTCGAGCGCCACGGGTCATAGGATTCTCCGATGCATCTCGAAGCATCTCAACTATATACCATCGGTTGACAATCTCGTTATCGTTAACATCTCGTGATTCGTATCGGTTCCGTAACTCTCGTGCGGATGCGGCGCGAACGTCGCTTCGATTTTCCATCAACCGCGACATCTTTTCAGTTTGTCGAGCATAGGTTATGTAAAACTAAGACTCTAGGCGAGTTCGCGTTCGAAGATGCGTTCGATACGGTTGATAATATTTTTAGTACAGCGCTGTTGGTTGTTCGGCTGACGAATTATTAATAAACCCCTGGCTATTTCCGATTAGGCGAGCAATGTCGATCGACAGCCAGATAAAAGTAGAACTATGTCGAGTGAATACGTGTGCGCGTATCGAGACGACCGCGACCTTCGGCTTTCATTAAGACGCACCTTAAAAGACGACAAGCCGGTTGGTTGGCTATTTGTCCAACTTTAGACATTATCTTTAATGGAATTCGTAATTGCCAACGAATATATCCGTATGTGACATATTTTATTTCCAGTTATTTTCTAAGTTTTCTAAATCTTGAATATTGTATACACGCCTTTACCTTCTACCGAGTTTTAAATATCCGTTTACAAAAATATACTTTCGATACTTGTGAATAAATTTACGACACAAACACACATGCAGCTTTTCGTATTTCATAATAGTCGCTTTTACTTTTAAATCAAATGAAAGCAAACAAGCGTGGAATACAATTCAAAACACGAAAATAATAATAACCGTTATTTCCAAACAAATATTCCTTACATCAGTTGAATACATAAAGGTCTTCACTTTCTTCGATTCATAACCTCGAAAATTTTTCACACGAAACTCGATCTTTAGGCGCCACTTTGTTTCATTCAAACTAAAGATAAATTACTCCCACGAGAAAAAAAAAAAAGATGAATCACACCGAGCGATAGTAAAAGGGTTAACAATAAAGAATCATGCTCAAAGGATTTTTTCCTTCGTTCTGCTCTTTCTTCTCCTTTGCCCCATCCCCCTGATGGCGTCACTTTCGACACCAGGCGGTACGTTCGTACGTTATCAAGCGTCGTGGAGTCAGAGTGGCCGTTAATAAAGCGGACGTGCCTACTTAATTAGCACAGAAGGATAATCGTGTGGATTAAACTAGGTCAGGCGAGTGACGCGCTTACATGCCTGACCGGGTAATATTTATTCTTGGCGCTGCATGCAGCGGAGATGTTGCTGCAGTCCATAAGAATATCGTTTACTTTAACGCGATTTCCCGAGTGGTCGCCTTGTCAACGCGCTTCTGACGTTACTGCGTCGCGTGATGCTTGACGCGTAGCCCGGTTGGAAATAGTTCAAGAACTTGTCATGCATCGTCCAATGGATTTTCATAATTTGCATACATA